GCACGCATACACACACGCACACACACACACACACGGAGCAATAGAGTGAGAGGAGGGGGATGGAGGAGTATTTGTACCAGTAATAAGATGGAGGATCTCAAATTTTTACATTTTGATATCATGGAGGTGTACAGGTTGTTTTTCTGGAGCAGATTTATTTTTACGTGTCTGAAACTGTATTAAAATTCTCTCTGGACTGATGTCAGGACTCGAAAAGGCAGAATGTAAATGAGCACTGGATTATTGTCTGCAGATCTTTAACATGTAAATATTTGGATCCCACAGAGTAAATGTACAACATGAGAAAGTAAAAGGTTCTGTAAACACGACAGAGAACGAATACCATCAACATTAGGGTCAATTTAAATTGAAGTAGACACTGAAAATGTCAGGAAACGGAAACTCAGAAAATCATGTATGTATCAACAACAGAAAAATGACAACATCATTTCATTTTTCTATATTTCATTAAAATAAATGAATATGTCAATTTGTGCAGCTCAACGTATTTCATGTGTTTTGTACGACACATGCGCGGAGGTAAAGTTTCATTGTCGGATTTCTTTTTATTCTTCCTCCTCTGCGGCAGTGGGCTGCTGCTAATATTGTGTTCAGTCTGACAGTGCTAACAATAGTAACACTATACAAAAGAGGCCAAATTAACAGGAGTGTTGAGGGACTGAAGGTGAGGAGCTGCAGTCGTTTCCTCCCCAACATCCAATCACTAAAGCTGCAGCTCCGCAAACCTTCCTCCCTCAGAACGTGTGTGTGTGTGTGTGTGTCAGACACACACTGACGCTACAGGATGAAACGCTGTAATCAGACAAACAGGAACGACTCCGAGAATCAAATGACGTGTGTGTGTTTTCCAAAATGTTAAATTCAAACTGATGATTACAGATTTATTTTTATTTTTAAGTTTGAAGTGCTGCTGACTGGCTGCCACTTCCCATCTGGCTGCTTTCGTCTATAGGCATTTTGCCCCTCGCGACAATAACGCTGCCATGCATAAAGGTGTGTGTGTGTGTGTGTGTGTGTGTGTGTGTGTGTGTGTGTGGAAGCGGGAGGATGTAAGAAGGGAGGATCCAGATGTTGGGTTCATTCTCGTCCTCCTATACCCCATTCCATTTATTTTAATCCATCTCCCTCCCCCACAGCATCGTACAGCAAGCCATCTGCACGCATACACACACGCACACACACACACACACAGCCTCCAGCATGTTATAACGCTGATGCGTGTTAGCGCAGCCAGGTGGCTGGGTGGCCTCAAATGGTCCTCATGCACCTCTGGCTCTGTGCTGATTGGAGTGAATTCAGCTGCTATGAAATTATGCAGAGCTTCTCACCACTGTTTAAGTGGGTCAACGTGTGTGTGTGTGTGTGTGTGTGTGTGTGTATCTCATATGTGAACAGTACTGTAGTTTGTGTTTTGTTGTTTTGCTGGTGCAGGCTCATTAAAAATGAAATATTTGTTTGAAACACACTGTTCCTCCCAGACGACGGCTTATTAATGTGGTTTCACCAAATCAGTCATTTGGTGTGTGGGAGAATTGAAACCTCTGTGGAACTAACTTTACTTTCATTACAGGCAGGAGAGACGATACTTTTCTGTTCTTGAGGAAAATCGAGCTTGTACATAATTTAAACAGCAACTTTTAAAGACAACAGATGAAAAATAACTGCGTGAATTTCCAGACCAACGGCGCTAAAGGTAAATGAGTCAAAGCAGAGCAGCCTTAGCTTCCTGTCCGTGTCTTATCGTGGCCCGGGACACAGAGACGTGTGAAAATAGATCAGAAGACGACGTTGCTCATCAACATCACTAGATTATTAATCCCACCTTCACGTCCACAACCTCTGTCTCTCTCTGTCTCCTGCAGCCAAACATGACGTGAACGGCAACAAGACTGTTCCACCTTTCCCAGAGGGGACGGAGATGGCCATGTTTGGTAAGTGTCTTGTTCTCAAGCGCTTCCTGTTTTAATCCGGTTAAACTGTCCTTCTGAAGATGGACTTAATTCTGTCCACGTCACAAGAAATCTTTTAAAAGAATATGAGCTAATATTAGAACTGTAGAGATGCTGCACGCTTAAATGAGTTTTTGATGGCTCATAGCGCCACCTAGTGTTCCAAACTTTCTTTGACCTTGCAGGGCCCGTGCCGACGTAGAGTTTGGTACGTCTCTACGTCATGACATTCATCTATACAACATTGTGTGTGTTCCGCTGGAGTCGTCGTTATCCAGACAACCTAGACAACTTACCTGCAGCAAGCTAATTGGTATTTCCAGGCAAAACTTACGGGTGAAGTTTCACTCTCATGCTGCGTCTCTGCGTCTGTCAACCATTGTTTTCTGCTTGGTTTTAATTTCAACAGGACTTAATGAGGTGCTGTGCTTCTCTGTCTTCTCCGTTAAATAGTTTTTGGTGTCGTTCCGTTGAGTTTCCTTTTCTTTTCTCGAAGGCATGGGCTGCTTCTGGGGAGCCGAGAGGAAGTTCTGGAGACAAAAAGGAGTTTATTCCACCCAAGTGGGTTTCTCTGGAGGATACACACCTAACCCCACCTACAGGGAGGTCTGCTCAGGTAGCCTCCGCATACTGACACACACACACACACACACACACACACACAGTCTCACGCTGTGTGCTGGACAGTGTGTTTTCTACTGACAGTCAATAGATTGTGGAAAACAAGATACAAATAAACAGAGCAGTGAATCCTTTTCCCCCAGGCCCTATTATAGTGGGGCATGGATTAGGATGCTATTGATGCCTGACCACTGTGAGCAGACTGTGTGTGTGTGTGTGTGTGTGTGTGTGTGTCCAGACCTCCCAGTGACTCCTCCAGCCAGTAATGAATCCATCATCTGACGTGCATCACCACCTGTCTCCCTCTCTAACTTAGTTTTGTTCTTCCAAACACTCACAAAACAAGTGTCTGTGGAACAGTGTGAAAACTTCAGCTGATGAATTGCTACGTGTGCGTGATCCTCTAACACCTGCTCAGAGCTGAAGACTGCAGGTTGCTGTTAATATTGTAAGAAATCTGAAAATCAGCCTCACCAGTCGAACAGTGACGGGCTCTGCACCGGTGGAGAGACGGACGTGTGTTGTTTATCTAACACAGCGTCTTGGCAGAGCGTTGAAAGAGGAAGCTTGGATATAAATCAGGTGCTTCTGACGCCTTCACGTCTTCAGGAGAAACAAACAGAAGATGTTGATGATGATGTGAATATTCGTTGTTGGTTAAATATTTACACACTCTCTCCTTGCCACACACACAACGCATTATTTTTCTACTTTAAAAAAAATGTTACAGACGCAAACAACAAAATTGTCAGAATAAAATAAGGTGACGAGGGTGAGAAGTCTTTATTTTAAGTTAAAGAGGTTTTTGCTTTTTGCAATGTTTAGAGAATTTAAATTTCCTTCTGCCAATAGATCCCTGACACACCAGCGCTTTAAGAGAAGAATGGAAAAAACATTGTTCTGAGTCTCAGGTTTGCATTCCGGGAAAGAGTCTGAGCTTTCATTACACTTTCTTTTTAACTTTATCAGGTAGAAGTTGTGGTTTTTTCGGGATCCAAAGTGCAAACGTCAGACAAAACGACTCAAATCATTTATCTCTGACAGGCGCGGGTCTCACAGGAAATACGTCCAAACAGGTGGAATACAAATCCCCGAACAAATAGTTTCCAAAAGTCCAAAGTCTTTCAAAAGTCCTTCACATAGCAGATTCCAACATTTATCCACCAGTGCATTGTTGATTAGCTCTTCTTGCTAAAATGGTGGGTGACTAGAATAATCATAAGATAACTCTGCAGTTAAATGTACATCAAGCAGACGGAGGATCTCTGCAGCTTTATTTTCTATTTTGGTTCCAACCACCACTTTATTTCTCATCCTGTCCAAGATGAATTTATTCCTGTGAGATCGGCCCGGTGAGGCATTAATTTAATATCGACCGCCGCTTTGTCTCTGTTCGCCAATATCTACCGAAGGAATCCATAAGTCCTGATATTAAAAAAGTAATAAGACAGACAGAGAGCGATGGAGATAGGAGTGGAAGTAGAAGGAGAGACGGAGGAAGATGAGGTTCAGCGTAATGGGTCACACTCATTACCGACAGCAGCTGCTATCTGTCCGTCTGCAGGAGTCATCGTTTCTTAACGTGACAATTAGCGTCGTGAATGACGCCGGCTCTTTAAGGGAGGGGCCTGGTTCTTGATTTTCAGGTGATTCAGTTTTGATTGAATTCCAAAATATACCAAAATACTCCAAGGACGACTTCAGACCCTGAGACTTTTTTAATTTAGTCTTAGCCAAAGTAACAGGTGTGAGTCTGGATAGACGTCGGGAGTCGAGACAGCACCAAACTGTTGAGGAAGAAATAGAAGCTGAGGGGTTTGTTACGAAGACCTTGAGCTGAGACTGATTTTTCTCTGAATTGCTTGACGTTCATCACACTGAAATGTTTGTGACATGATTTACTAGTTGAGCAGAATCTGACACATCATGTCGTGTTGCGCAGGAAGAACAGGCCACACCGAGGTGGTGAGAGTCGTCTTCCATCCCGACCAGATCAGCTTCGCCCACCTGCTCAAAGTTTTCTGGGAAAGCCACAACCCGACTCAAGGTGTGAGACAGTCTGTGTTTTAAGACAAGCTTCGTTTTAATGAATTTCTTTTTTTATTCTTGAGAATTTATGACTCTCCTCCTAAGATAATAACTTTATTCTCATACAATTTATACCATTATTCTTGAAGTCTTGTTTATCTCTTCCACTGGCTCTGGTACTTGAAATGTTCTAAACAAATAAACTTCCCTTTCCCTCTTAAGTTTTTCAAACATTGTTGGTTAATTATATTTTCAAGAAACTGCTGATTAACTCGGTGACCCAGATGAACTTGATGCTGA